AGAATGCACAAAGATACAGTAGTAGGGAGGGACAAAACTGACACCAAATTCCTCTCTGACTTCTGACAGGCCAGTGAATCCCAGGGGGTCAGACAACTACAGCACTGGGAAGCCCAGCCCCCCTTGCAGGGCAAAGCAGCCTGTGCTGGGTGTTTGTGTAGGTCCCCTCCATCAGAAGCTGGGTTTCTGGAGCCCTTCCTCCCTGCTTCTGGACAATTACACCTGCAGCTCAGCTAGTTTTCGTTCATTTCTGGTTAAAAGCAGTGTACTCATATCCTCCCCCACAGTGCATCCAGCTCTTTCTGTCCCTCCTCCCACACACTTCATTCCTGTTCTCAGCCTGTTTCTTCCTGAACAGCCAATACTCTAAGAGGCCTCATTTAAACAGAAACGTGCATGAAAGAGGAGACATCATTATATCTATAATCTCGGATTACTCACAACTATTTTCATCCTTTTTCTTCTCTTCTGTGGTCAGTAAACTCCCAGTTTTGGAGAAATGAAAAGTGAGAAATCAACAGTACAATGCTCTTTGACATTCTACCTTCCTTTTAACACCAAAACTAGAGAAGTAGACAATAAGCTATCCTCTCATTAAATTCAACAACAGCATTATGAAAGGGTCCTATTCATTAACACAGGGGATTTATCTATGCCATCAATGGACCTAATTCCTAAATTCAGAACTCCAGATTATGTGTGACCAGTGATCTCAAAACATATGTGTATGTTTATGTGATATAAAAGTATCAGATTCACATGATGTAAGACTTAATGCTGAAACCAGTAGCTACTATTTTGAAACTTAAGCCCTTTTTCTTATCAGATTACAAGGTCACAGCCTGGACTAGGTGTGTGCTTCTATCTATGGTATAGGATGCCAATCCCGCTTCAGACGCTTTCTCTCAGAAATACAATTTATTTATACTGTTTACTTTGTAACCAGTACATTGTAATGTTCTTAAAGCCTTTTCTTTATTGTGTAGTCCCTATTCTCCTACTACTTTGAACACTTGGATCAAAAAATTCTAGTTGTAGCCTGAAAAGAAAGATGATCCAGATTTCTGGAAAAATAGGTAATATCCATGGCGTTGGACCAAGCAAAAACTTCAGACTCATGTAACCCAGTGAAACGAAGGGACCTGCATGGCTTATTATTAAACTGAACAGAGTCCTAGTCCTTCATATGATCACTCTGTGCGTAACCACAAAAATCCTTATCCTCAGCCTCCAAAACAATAAAGGAAAATGACAAATGAGAGGTACAACTTCCGCGGTAGGATCACAACGGTCCTGATTCAGCAGAGCTGTTTAAAACCCGCGCATTTAAAAAGGTTCAGCAGTGCTGTACAGAAGCAAAGTCCAAAGGTAAAACTCATTAACCCACACTGCTCTGGGTCAACAGGGCAAAGGGGCAGACAAGTCAGTGCCTCTTTAGTCTCCCAGCCAATTATTTGCTCACACTATTTTTCGAGCCAAGTTCCTGCATATATTCAAATGAAGGAAATTAATTCCAACTGATGAAAGATCTCTGGGCTCTGAAAGCTGATACAAGTGACACTTGAAAACAACCAACACATCAGGTTTCTTTGTCAACAGTCAGCGTTACAATTGCTTTTCAGAAGCAATAATCCATTTTCATGTGCTAACCTGGAGTCTAATGAGAGCACTCTACCAGTGATGCCTTAAGCTCTTCCGAGAGGACACCTATGCAAAAGCAAGCAAGAAAGCAGCCTCTTTTTTTCACTTCTGATATTCCTGCCACACCCAAAGATGCATCAACAGGAAAGAACCAGACTTTCAGAGCCTGTAACTGCTGAAGAGACAGCAACTGAGCCAGAGGAGCAGTCCAGGAAACCTTCTTCACCACAGTGCTCAAGAAGGCAGGACAGGAGCACCCCATTCCCAACTGATCTTGAAGGAGCAGCAACAAGCCAATGGTGTTCCCCTTTAATTTCTTCTACAACTCAGTTTGCAAACACAATCTCAAACCAACATCAACACTTCATAAGACACCACAGATATTGCCAAAATTGATACGGAACACACAACCTCATGCTCAGTGCACTTGCACACATGCATACGGTCTTGCAAGGAAAAACAAATCTACAGAGTGCTAAGAAATAATTTTACATTCCAAAGCAAGTACTTCTCTAAGCATTTTCTTGATACTATAGATGATTTACTCTTAATTGATTATGTAAGTAGCTTAGGCACACGTAACCAAGCACTGGAGGCATCTAATTACTGTCAGCATTATCTCTACAGGCAGCCACAAATCTTAACTGGCATGTCATGACCGAGTTTGCTCTGGGTAAGTTTGAACAAACTAAGCCATTCCCAGATGCCATGTGGGGTTCAGTACAAGCACAGGTGCCATTTCAAGATGAAAGGTTTCTCCCTTTTACCAAATATCAGCAACTTGTGCAGAAAGTTAAGCTGATTCATCTCAGTGGTTGAAACCTGCATCCTATTACTCAGAGAAGCCCTCCAAGAGCTGAACGTGCAGATTAAGGCTGAGTGCCTGAACTGCAGCCTTACCCCATGACCATCAGTCTCCTGGAAGGCAGAAAGGCTGTGTACATACTGCTCAGGTGCTTGTTCTTTCACACTGTACACATGTGCCAGCCACTCACCAAAGTTCTCCTGCCATAGTTCACCCTTGGTTCTCCAAAGTGAAGGTTTATGCACTTAACCTGCAGGAGTGAGAATCTCAACTGAAACTCCTTTCAGCAGAGAGTGCAGTGCTAAGAACACACTCCTCTCTGAGACTTGGTTTATACCTACTACTGCTGCACTTCTAACAAACTGCTTTAAGAAGCTTCCTCTCAGCAAGCTGGTCTTCAACAATACTACTCGAAATGCCTCCTCCTCATGTCACAGTGCACACAAACCCTGAGCTGGGTAGGGAGGCCTCTAGAAAGCAGCTACTTTGAAACAAAACAGTGCAAGACCCATGTTCATTTACTTCAGTACTCACTGAAGTCCTGGGAATCCAAGGGGTCCACAGGAACTCCAGGGAACAGGGAGTTCACTACAGGAAGCTATTTCAACCTCGTGGATGATAGATCATACAAATCAACAAAAACTAGCTACATTATGTTTTGAAGCTTAACAATGCTGACAGAATAATATAAATAGTACTCCCAGTGGCATAGAAGGACCTCAGAAGCTCCCTACTTGTTCCATACCTCTGAACCTCACCACCAGGTCACATGACATAAGAGAACAGATTCATAAAATAAGGGGGTGTGGTGTGCAAGCAGGACAAAAAGTGAGCAACTCCTGTTTTCAAAACAGAGCAGAAGGTGGATGGTAAAGGGAAGGATATTCAAGGTCAGGTTACAGATGGAGCACCTGGAACTTCAAAGCTGATCACCTAGTTTGAACTTAATCCTCATATTATCACCATGACATCACCCACTGACCAAGATTATCTGTTCTCCATTTAAAAGGCACTCATGACAGCCTTTGTTTCCTGGCATTCAAAGTACCTGAAAAGATTCAGGTTAAAAAGCTCAGTCTAGTGAGTACCACAGTTCTTGTAACACTGATAAAACCACTACAGACTACGCAAGAACAGGATTTGGGCAGATGGCTTTACTTTGCTGGATGAGAAAAGTTGAGAAGCAGGTAAACATCCCACTTGAACGAGGTCTAAATAGCCTGTTCCACTGTGCTCCCTCCAGGCTGAAGGACAGCATTTGTTTGAGTTAGCAGTTGTGCTACCAGAATGGGTAACAAAAGTTCATGCTTTGAAGTGCTGAGAAGCCTTCTGCTTCAGAATTAAGTCTGGTTCCATGGCAACAAACAGACAAGGGTCCACAAAAGCTTCAGCACCTCAAACATGACTGATGACTGGAGTTCTGCTGCACAATACTTCAACCCAAGAATAAAAATCAACAAAGGCTTCAGCCAGTTTAATAGGTCTAAGGAAACTGCTTCTCTTAAGCTTTGCAAATAAGGCAGCCTTTCAAAGAATCATGTTTGCCAGTATTTTATCAGCCTATTCATATTAGCCTATTTGTCTCACGCAAAAAAACCCCCACAAACACAAATATGAGGAAAAAGAGCTTAGCTGAAGCAATCCCATGTGCAAAACAGGTTAGATACAGCCAACTCTGCTCGATGCTTAAAGTTTATTTCTAGAACGGTTTCTCTAAAATGCATCATACTTCAGACATCATATCCTAAAAATAACAGACATTATGAAGGCCTTACATAAATAAAAGAAAAAACCAAACTTACCAGCAAACAACCAAACCCCCCAAAAGTAGACAGCCCTTTTCTCATTCACCACTTCCCCTGGGCATCTGCGTTTACAACACCTTCTCTTTCTCACAAGGGCCACATTTAGAAGAGGTCACGTAACTGCTTTGAGTGGCCAGTGCTGTCATTTCAACAAGTGAGTGACGCAATGCCAGATGATTTCATTCCATACATAAATGAAGGAAAAAGATATTAAAAAAACTGGAGCTGAGATTTGGAAAGACCATAGTAGTCATGCAAAGTGTTTGGCAAGTGTCTGTATTTTAAGCTTCATACGCTCAGAATGATCAATAAAATATTCCATCACTGCTAAACCGTTTACGAACCCTGAGATGTCAAAGTTCTTTAATACAGGTATGGATCCCACCTATATTTATCTGTTTATGTGCCATCATAATAAGGACCTTGGCCAAAATCACAAAAGATATTACCAGAGAAGCCACTGTTCAGAGGATAAAAGACCTTGTTCAGAACTCCTTTTATTGTAATATAGAAGGAATCTTCCAAGATTTAAGATGCTTCAATAAAACACAAAGATAGGAGGATGCAGAGCCTTAGTCCCTAGCAATATCTGCCTACTTACTCGTTACACAAAAAAGATGTTAATACCCATCTAAATTAAAATAGCAAGCTATTATATCTTTAAAAGTAAAATATCACACAAGACCATTCTGCTATGATCTTACATAATCTCACTGTTGAAATACAACCATATTTCACGGAAGCATTACCTGGCAAAGAAGTTCGTAAAAGGTCCCAGTATTTTCCGTTTACTGTCCCCGTCTGCCTCGTGACAACACTCCTGCTGGCTCTGGTCATTGGTCTCTTTAGAGGAATTCAGTGTAACGTCCGAGAAGTGTGCCTCATCCGTCTCAAGATTCACAATTGCACTTGAACTGCTTGTGACCACAAAGTCCAGAATGTCTTCATTGCTAACCGATAAAGTCGTTGACAGTTCTGTGCTGAGACTAGACACACTACAAACAGAGATATCGTCACTTCGATTCAGAGTTTTTGAGGTTGGACTATAAAGTTTGACGGTATCATACCCAGTCCTTGGGAAAGTGGAGGATTTTCGCACAGCGTGGTCGTGCGCAGCAGCCAGGGAAGGTGGAGGCACATACGGTGGCAGTGTGCACGCGCTCTGAAACGCCCTGTCAGGCACAATTTCAGGTTCTGACTGCTTTCTCTTCACATTCAACACACTGCAGTGAACAGGCTCTGGATTTCCTATTTCTAGAGTTGGAATACCAGAATCCACTGATTTAAGGCTATGACAATCTTCCAAAACACTGGACAGCTGGCCAGGCCCATACTCAGGCAATGAGAGATCTCTCGGGGTCCTGGAGTTCAAGTTTGGAAGGCCCTGGATCCCGCTGCCCACTTTTGCATCCAGAATTCCCATGAAGCTCAAACCGTTTAAGGAGCTGCATAAATTTGCACCAGTTGTCTTGGCCCAACCAGTACCTGGTTAAAAAGAAAGAAAATATAAGATCATGAATTTGTAGGAAGGTTGTGGTTTGTTCTTGACTGTTTCGGTTTGTTCAGTGGGGTTTTTCTGGTTGCTTCTTTTGTCTGTTTCTTCAGGTTTTTTTGGTGGGTTTTTTTGTTTGTTTGCTTGTTTGTGGGTTTTGGGGTTTTTTTGTGTGTGTGTGTGTGTTTTTTTTAATATTCTCAGTCCTGTCCCAATTTAGGTTTTCAATTGAAAATTGTTTTCCTTTTGCACATGATTACTATCCCTTCCTCCTGCTTGAACAACCAGGACAACAGTAACTTAAATTAGGCTTCTAGAAAATGTCAAGCATGAAAAGCTTTTCATAAGCAGTTTGTGTGCGTTTGCTTCTTACACATCTCCTGAAAGTGAAATGACATACTATAAAACCTGCAGTATTTTAATATTCCATTTTAATGTTGAGACAAATATTTGAAATTTATTTTTATACAGTCATAAATGCATATTTACTGATTCCAGGGGTCTACAAAACTTGTTTACATTCACTTAGACCAAATTCTCAAGTGTTCATTAAGTCAGAATTTCTTAGCATTCTTCTGGAAACCAAATAACTGACAATAAATTTGTCACCAAAACAGAACGCATAATGTATCAGTTTTGCATTAAGCAAGAGATGCAAAATCTGAACAGCTACAAAGCTATCCACACAGTCAGTGTTTTGACAATACATTTGATGCACTTCATCAATTCATGTACAGCAACTCTGACACTTGTAAACACATTGTAATTACTGCAGTCAGAGACTGTCTTCCTTCATCTTTGCAATATCCGTTCACAGGGTCTCCCTGGGGGCTGCCAGCAGGTCAGTTAATCCAGATCCACTGTAAATCTGAGTAACCCTCAAGTGGGGGCTGCCAATAGGAGCTACAGGTTGGGTGCACCATCCTTGTGAGCAACCGCAGCCTTCCATAAACCTGGAACACCATCAGGACTGCTGCCCTGGCTTCCACAACTGCTACAGACCCTTTAAACACTACATGACTATTCGAGTGACATTGCATACACCTTCTCTTTCTATATGAATAGTTAAATTACCTACAGCTCCGCTGAAGTTTGCAATGTAATTACTCTGCAGCAGTTGGCAGAATAAATATGCACATATTGCTTCAGTTTCTTCACTCTGAAACACTCTGGGCTGAGTGTGAAGGAGTGAAGAACACTCCTTGCATCTTGCCAACAGATTGCTTTCTAGACGGATTTTTCTCCAGTTCCTGAAGCCTCATCTCCTGCTTCTGGTCTCCTATTCTCTCTCAAGTGCAGCACTTAATTAAACGTGACAGTTGCTATCTAGGAGGTCCTCCCCGCATCCTGCTTTTAAAAAACAAATACACACATACCCCAAAGCAAACCCCAATTTGTGAAAATTGGTATCTCACAGCAGTTCTAAACCACTGATTAATGTCGCCTAAGCCCTGCCAAACATCAGGGTTTGACACATAGTCCGTTCTTGATCTGAGCCCATCAATACACTGGCAGGAGGTGAGAGAAAACACACTTCAAACATATTTAACTGGTTCAAACCAAAACATCTTTTTCCACAAGTTTTCAGTCAAATGGGAAGTTAATGAATCCAACTACTTTGTATGCTACACTAAACCTTGAATTTCCTGTCCAAATGCTATTTGCTAGCTGATATGGCACTCAAGTTCAATCCACTCCTAAGCACAGAGAAAAGTCAAGGAGAAATAGTCCTGTATATTTCCTCTTTTAGACTTTTCAAAAACTTTGTAGCAGCCATCCAAATCAATCAACACATCAATTGCCTAATCCTCTGCATAAGCAAGGTTTCAAGTGTATTGTTTTGACTAAAAAGCTTGTGAAGATGTACACTTTACTTAAAGAGTTGCTATAGCAACTTTTTTTCCCCCCACATTACCATGGTTTGAAGAGTTTACATCCCCTGCAATGTAAAGTGATGCCTTGAGATAGCTAGCACATCAACCCGGTACATTATGAACTCCTGGTTCACTAAATTAAAATTGCAAGGGCCAGCAGAAAACCAAACAACCCCAAACAGCAACCCTTGAATACAGGCAACAGACTACTCAAGAAGTCAACTGTGACAGCTGAAGTGTACACATAAGATATAAAACAGAGCATAAGATATAATTATTGTTGCATATACTTGGATCTCCTGCTTTCAGACCTTCTTGCTTGGATTCACTTGTTCTTCTAATGCAAGTCTGACTGTTTTCTCTTCCCTGTGCTCACCTTACCCCTTCATACACACTATATTGCTCTTCAAATCCACAGCCCACACGTTACCCTAAAGTATATAAACACACACACTATGGAACAATACACAAGAGAGTGTAGGTGCTTTATTTATAAGAATTTACACATATAAATGCATCTAGAAAATGCAGTCCAGAAAACAAAGGACAGAAATGCAATCAGTCAGGAACAGTTTTGATGATGTTTGGGTAAATAGCACAAGCATGTTCCCATAATGAATTCCTCCCCTGACTGCCTTCACTTCTGCTCAATGATTTTCCCAAGTAGCAGCCAGTCCTTAGTTTAATTGCATGGCTCTTGTCGACCAAGCTTACAAATGGTAAGCATTCAAACAGCCTTGGCAGAGGCAATAGCTACAGCAGCTCAGGAGGCCAAACAATCCTGTAAACAAGCGTTCAGAAAGAAGTGAAAACAAATTTTCACGCCAGGTACTGAAGCTATTTTAACTTGGCTTGGTATTTTTTCAAGCAATAAATTTAGCAGAAAGAGATCCTTTAAACAGGGAACCAGCAAACGCAGAAGTGTGCAACAGCTACAGCTTGCTGGAGCAAATTATGCAACAGCAAGCTACCAAGGTTTTACACAGTTCAGCGAAACTGTGGGAAGCTTTGAAGTGTACCCATCAAGGGCTTTAAGAGAAAACTTGAGATGCAATCAGCCGTCAAGAACATACATGAGAACTCCTTGATCCGTTTTGCTTTAGGTTGTTGTAGGATTGTTTTTAAGGATGTAGTGAAGTGATATTTATACTCTTTGTTTTAGCTGCCTCACTGGTAAGTGTAAAGTCGGACAATTGATGTAAAATATTCTCTCACACGCTCCAATGATACCTGCTTTCCATAAATCATTTACTAACATAACCATATTGTAGCATTATCATCTGAATAAACATGGCATTAATAAAATATTACTATAATAAACTACTGGGAAATAATAAGCAATTTTGTCTGCACAACGTTCATAATCCCCATGGTTTATTTCAATATATATTAATCTAAATAAAATCGATAATTGTAAAGTCTTAACATGCTATGTCTTATAGAAACCATAATCTCGTAAAAGTGAATATCCCACAAGAGAGATAACAGGGGAAAGGGAGTTAGGGAAATACAGCCAAGGTCACACGTGGCAATAAGAGGGCAGGTAGAGATTATTTGCTCATTAACACTTCCAACGTAAGTGCTAAGGGGCACCTGATAAAGACAGTTTTGTCGCCAGGTTCAAAATTAACATCGGGACATAAGGGGCATCTGAAATGCGTAAATCCTTGCCACAGAACACCCTGGGTGCCAGAAGTTTACGTGTAAGCTCAGGAAAAAAAAAAAATCACTAATGATTCCTAAACGATAAGAAATTCATGAATTCCCTGAATTGCGAGTGTCAGAACTTCATGAAAACATCAACATATATTAGTCCTGCTTGCAGGACCTCCCCCAGGTAAATTCTTTCCTCTGACAGGTGGAGTTTTGATCCCTCTCAGTGCGGCTGTCCATACAGCCTTACATTCCCCAAATTCTGATCACAGCATGCAAGAAGGCATGTTCTGACAATAACCAGAGGCTTTAAAACAGACCTTGGCTCTGCATATTGCTCAATCACACAGAGGGAACAAGTCATATTTGATTATAATTCTAAGATCTACAATAAAATGGCTTTTAATCCATGTTGATATAAAATTTAAACAGAGTTAACAGCAATACAAAATCATTAGAGTAAAACAAAACCAGAAAGATGCCAACTCAAGCCCCATTCTTCCAAGTTCGCTGTGAGTTGCAATGCAATTTAGGCAACCAACAAGAGTAAGACAAATATCTGCAAAACAGGCTTTGTATCTTCTTGCCTCACAGGAACGGGAAGAGGAATGATTCATACATACTGCTCAGTTCTCAAAGAGTTAACATTGCCATTTTTATCACACACCTTGTCTATTCAACACTTATCTCCACCAGGAAATTTTTAAAAAGTTTTTAAGAACAAGGAATTTCTTCAATTACAAAGCTGCAACTTTTTTCTTCTTTCTTAAAGGAAAAAGATATGTTTGTTTTTTTTTTTTAAATCAAAGGTTTATACTCTCCATGCATTTAACAATATTTTTGTTGCATGTACCAAGCAACAAAATGCAGCTGCAGGTGGCCTCGGTGCACAAGGCCATCAAAGCCAGTTTTGTTTATTAAATATTTCTTGGTTCAGATTGTTTATGTTCACGTTCTAACAGCCACGGCACTGCCAGCAATGACGAACTCCTGAAGCTACAAAAGTCTGACTTCCAACAAGGTGCGAGATAGAGCGATTAAGGCTACATGTGTAAGCCCTGCCAAAACTTTACCGGCAAAAAGAAATGAAACACACCGAGATTTTTTTTTTTTTTCCCCTCTTAATACGCCTTTATCTAACTCTCAGCTGAGGCTCTTCACGAAGCCTGAGCTTTACGAATCTGGCTTCTGAGCACAGTGTTCGGAGAGCGATCATAAGTAAATCCTTCATTACTTTTCCACTGTTTTGCTACGTCAGGCCGGCAATACAAACGAGTCACAGTGTTTTTCTAAAACCTCCGCTCCTGAAGCAGTTTACAGGGTTTTTTCCCTGCCCACACCATTATTACTGAAAACTCTGAGACCACATCAAATTATCAGCAGCGCCGGGAGAACTCCTGCTCCTGAGAGCTGTAGTTTTGTTTGGTCTGTGGGAATTGCCTGGGAGATTTCAACTAGAAGAGAGGCAGCGAGATGAAAGTTTCTTCCTTTTCATGGGTTCAGCCTGACTCGCACTGCGAAGGTTCCCGAGCTGGCGGCCTTCGCTTACAAAACCACCCAAAGAAACTGAAACAAAAAACAAACCAAACTCCACGAGCAAAGCCTTGAGGAAGCAGCGCTCACCTCCCCCTGCGGTCTGTTACCCACTCGGTGAAGGCTCCGAAGGCTCAGCTCTCCTACTCCTCTTAACTTTTTAAGGTGGCCACGGCCGGGGAAGGCAGCAGACCCAGCCCCAGCCCCGCCGAGCCCTCGCAGCGGGGGCTGCCCCGCCCGCCCCGCTCGCCCCCGGGCTCTGCCCTCGCACCAACAGGTGCCACCGTGTGACACCCCCGGCCCCGGACGGGATGAGCCCCCGCCCGCGCAGCCCCGCAGAGCCCGATCGCCTCACCGGGGTAGCGCTGCCCTCCGCCGTTCTCCTCCCGCTGGGCCATGCCCGGCCCGCCCCGCAGCCGCCGCTGCGGGACTAGGAGGCGGCCGGCGGCTGCGGCGGGCGGTCCATGTCGCTGCCCTCCGGTCCCCGCGGAGCAGCGCCGGGCTCAGCGCGGCTGAGGCGGAGCAGCCGCCCCTCGCCGGGCGCCTCCTCGGCGCGGCGCAGGGCCTCCCATGGCGACCGCCCCCGCGGCGGGCGCGGCGCACACCTGGCTGCGGGACAGGTGTCGGGCTGCTCCAGGAACGCTGCAGCCCCCGCGCCTCAGGCTCCTCCCGCCCCGCCGCCGCTCCCCCTGCCCGGCGCGGCAGGGAAAGCACCGCCCGCCGGGGGAGGGAACGCCTGCGCTGAGGGGGCCGGTGGGCGGCCGCCGGGCGCCATTTTGGATCGTGTCGGCGCTCGCCGAGGGGTTGGCGGGGCTGGCGGAGGTGTCGGTGGGGCGGCTCCGATCTGATCCCCCGGGGAGGCGGCCCGGGAGTGGAGTGGAGCGGGGCTGTGGCTGAGAGCGCTCGCTCCGAGGGCCCCGGGAGTGAAGCGGGGCTTTGGCTGAGGGCGCTCGCTCCGAGGGCCCCGGGAGCGGAGCGGGGTTGTGGCTGAGGGCGCTCCGAGGAGCCCCGTGCCCGTACGGAGCTGCTGTTTCTGTGCTCGGCGGCTCCAGCCCGTCCCGTGTCACTGCCGGAGGCAGGGGGTGGCCCTGGCGATCTCCTGGCCGGGCTCCGCTTGTGTTCCCGCCTGCGTTTAGGAGGAAAACAAACTTCCGTGGGTTTGCGAGTTTGGGCTGCGGAAGGTCTGGGGGCATGCAGTGCAGGTGTGTCTTTAGCTCTGTGGAACTTTGGCTTTACGCTCTGTAATGCCAAAAGTGGAGGCTTTAGGGTGGTAACTGGCGAGTTTTGCACGTTTATCTTTCTTTGCCTTCCGCCCCAAGCGCTCCCCTTTGCCGCTGGCACGGCGGGGCTGTGGAGCACAGCGTGCTCTGCCCCACGCTGAAGGCACAGGGGTCAGGAGCAATCAGCACCCGGCAGGGGCAGAGCTCTCGTGTGTTCCTTATCATCTGTGAAACTCAGTGCTGGGGTTTTTCTGCACACGTCACATGTTTCGCACCTAGACTTGGTGATGTGTCTCTGCAGTGGTGGTAAGATAAAGCGGACCCCCATCTGCACCGTCACCTCACAGCTCAAGTCTACGCTGAAGCTGGAAGTGTGAGTGCGGCAAATGCAGAAATATCTGGCCTTGTGTTAGTGTAATTAATTTGATACCAAGCAGCGCAAACCCATGATTATTCAAGCTTTGATGTGGGCAAGTTACATCTGAATGAATGAATTGCAAGAGGCAGAGGTAAACCAAGAAGTACTTGCCACCCTGGCCCTGTTAACACCAGTTCCATCCTATCAAGATGACTGCACTGAAAACTTAACATCAGTCAAAAATTATCTCTCTGTAGATAGTTTCTATGACTGGATCAGAGACCAATACTTATTCTGGTGTATTTCAAAGGTGAGTATCAATATAAGAGAATTAAGGATTGGTATTAATGAGTCCTTTTTTTTTTTTTTTTTTTTTTTTTTGAAAATCACTATCTCTGGAAGATAGCTCTCATATTAATATTAAAAGTAGTTAAATAGAATCAGAACGGTTTTGAGGCACTAAAAACTTGTTTATATGCAAAAGACTTTTGGAGCATATACTGTCACTAATTCATTTTTCAGTATTAATATTTTTGTTATGTTTTTAAGAGTGAGAATCAGTATTTCTGTTGGAGCAACTAGAATAGTGTATTATCATTGTGATGTCATTGAACTTGGATCAGAATTGTTTGGTTTCTAGGGTAAATAAGAGACTGGAAACACAGAGTCATGAATTCTGTAAGTCTGCAGAATGTGTGCATAGGAAATAATGATACTCCCAACTTCATAATATAGTTTAGGCTGAAGAAACTATTAGAAAAACCTACTGGAAAAAAACACAACCAAACAAACAACACCAGAGCATACAGAAAGTCACAGAAAATCACAGCCTAGTCAATATAGAAAAATACTATTTGCATGTGACTGATTGTATAACTCGTGGGAAAGGGTGAATAGTATTTCTGGTTGTCATGAGCTATTCCAAAAGCTGAGCTGTTTTGCTTTATCATTTAGCATCAGTTCTGTTGATGCCACCTCTAAGGTAAGGTAGTTTGTCTGCAAATACTGTGTACTCCTCTGTATGGGTAAAAGCTGAAGGGCTGACATTGTGACTAAACACAGTGTCACACCACTGGTTCTGATGGAAGTGTGGCATGTGCTAATTATTAAAAGGAAACAGAACAGGCACTGTCGGGTAGAGGAAGTAAAAATGTGTAACAGTGCAAAGGGACCTTTAGCACCTTTCTTTTGCAGCTGTGCAAAATTGAAAGTCCATCCAGAAGGACACACTGAGAAATCAATGAGTTCTGTTTAAACACATGGGTTGTAATTAAATCCTCAGAAGTGTGATAAGTGTGATAAAGTACTTAATCAGTGTGGTTATCATCAGTCCTCTGCCACTGATTCAGGGTTGGGTAAACCTGCAGAACGCTGAACTGAGTAAAAACTCTTGGGATCAAATCCTGATGTTTTGTTCAAGAGTGTCTTACCTGTGGCTATTGTGTAGAAATGAAGCACCACATAGAGCAGCCTCAGACTGGCTACTGATGTTCACCTAGTGGGCAAAAAAAATCTACGTGGTCTAATAATAGACTAGTGCTACAGAATTTAATTTTTTAAAAACATGCAATTCGAAAGCTTTGTCATACAGACCTCATTCGTGCCAGCAGAGTTCAATATGCCAGTTTTATGGTTACTGTTCAAGAAAACATGAAGACTTTCTGCTCTGTTCTGTCTTAATGATTTCTCTGGAATATACTACAAATGATAAAAGTACCCAAAATAACAGTCCTTCCTCTGTTCTGTTAGAGCTGAGGGACAGAAACACAGAAAAAATTCAATGATATTTCTTATGCCTGTAGATGTGAGAAATCATTCTGTGCTTAGGCTTTCAGTTCTGTTTTGAAGCTTAAGCAATTTTGCAATTGATACAGCTTCAAAGTTATATTTTTAAGAACCAGATGAGAACATCTAGATTGAATTTTCATTCATCACAAGCCAAGTATGATGCAAGCAGCTTTCAGAGCCAGCCAAACTGAGCTTCATTTGAATCTGCTGTGCAGCTCCTGATCCATCTTGAAGACAGTAATTTTCTGTCATAAGCTGGAAGATATTTTTTTCTCTAGTTAGCCAAAGATTTGCATATTGTGAAGGTACATCTGTTGTGCCTCCCTGAACGCGAGCTGACCTACAGCTCCTGCCTCCACCTCCCATCACTGTCACTTTAAGGCAGTTTTAGCTCGCCCAAGCCGGAGAGCGAGTGTTGCAGTGCTGGATACTCTGCTACCCTCCATGCTTTGCAGAATTAGTGCAGGCACCGTGAAGTACCTAATGCATGTTCTGTGGTACAAGAGGGAACAATGAATAAATACAGGTTTCCACCGACTTGTAGGAAATAGAAGGATAACAATTCTGGGGAAAATATCAGTACCTCAGAAGCAAATGGTGATGCTTTTGACAAATGAATTCTTCTCTGTCAGATTCATCACAAATTAAATTTTGTTCACATAAAACTTATTTTGCCTGTGTTTGATAGTAGTCCATTTCCTGCACAGCCACCATCTGCACAGGCATTCCTACTAGCAATGGAATGTCTGTGCACCAAGCCATTTTAATAGGTTTGGGATGAATCAGGAACAGCAGGAGAACGTGCCATTTCATTATCCCAAAACGCTGCCTCCTCCTACAGGAACTTAGACCTGATAAAGGCTGAGGAATCCGGGTCTGTAGCTACAATTACTATTAATGCTTCTATTACCACTGGTTTTAAGTTCCCCTCCATGAGACAGCAAGAAAATGAAGAGCAGGAAAGGCAGGAAAAGCGCGTGAAGCTTTTCAGCACTTTTGAATTGATATTACTGCAACATGATGCGTGACAGGATTGTTTCTATCACTGTCTACAAGCTGTTTAGGAAGGACAAAATGAGTAATAAGGTGTGAAGAAATAAAAATATACAAACTAAAAATATTACTTTTTGTATAATATCTTGGAATTGCAGAATCCCAAGTGCCCGTAAACAATTGCTGACAAAGCCTCCGTGGTACCTCTGTTACAGATCTTCACTCATCACTAAATCACACCAGAGAAGGAAGCGGGCTTGTTATTATGCACAGCTGCATAATGAAAAGTTGGAGTGCTATAGCAGATTTATTCTCTCATGTAAGCACAATTTAAATTACATTTCCCAAAGCAAATGGATCTGTTCTGTAACAGAAAAAGCATTGGACTCAACATGTGGTAGTTTTCTAGTGCAATTCACTAGGGAAAAAAAAGTACTGCACTAAAAATGAGTTGTTGTCTAGAACTAGTAGTGATGAATGAAACTAAGTAACATCTGTTTGGGGCAGGTAACAGGTGCCATTATTGTATATCCATGGATCTTCAGTGCTTCAAAGAATTTAATATTTTTGTATTGAATAAAATTACAAGAAAAATGGCAGAAAAATATTTAAAACGCATGAATGACAACTGGGACTTCTTGAAGACTTTGTTGTCAAATTGATAAGAGTTCCAGAGTCAAACAACCAGGGGTTCAAATCCCATTGCAGAGGACAATTAGAAGCCAAACAATTCAAAAATTACAAACTATGAAATGTAAGAAAAAAGGAAAAAGGCAAATCCTACTGAAATGGTATTGGGAACATAAAGAATGCTAACAGTCCTTAACGTTCACTATTGCATGAATATGTGAACTGTGCAGAAATGAAAATTTCTATACCGATTTCTCTCCATATCTGGAAGGGATCAGGGTGGCCCATCATAGCAGGTAGGAATTAATGAAGCAAATTTACTCTTTGGACAAAAGGCTTAACACACAAGTTGTACTTTTTTCAAACACAAGTTGGGGATCAAACTGAACGAGGTTGTGTGGGTCACTGCATCATTTCTGACACATTTGTCCAGTCTGTCCCTAAAAATCTCCAGCAGTGGAAGTGGCACCCCTCTTTAGGCAGTGCTTATGTATTTGCTTGCAGTACTGCTGCTGTACTGTACTGCTCTCTGCTTGAGCATTTCTGTGGCTACGAACATATTCTGTCCTCGGTGTGTTTGTAGTGAAGCTGTTAGGGATGAGGGAGGGC